GGCGTTAGGAATCAGCGCCGGATATAATATTCCGCAAAGCTAACTAATACCTATTCATAAATCAAAAATTCAATTTTGTACGTTTCGGCTTACTATTTGAGCCATCCTCAGCAATAAAAAATTACCGCTTATCGCACTATAAAATCTGTCGAACTGTGTCTCGCACAATCGTACTTCCGACCTCCAGATATGTAATTGCAGTGGAAATATGGTGAAAGACAACCATCTTTAACATAGTCTAATGCTGTGCCAACCAGTTACTTAACCGAGTGGAGTGGATAGTGGAACTCAAGCCCATCTCCAACAACGATCGCAAGTGGATCCAATCGCATCGTCAATCCATTACAACAATGTCAAAGTTAGATTAAAAAATAATTTAAGTAACATAAAAGAAAGTCATGTTCGTCCTGATGTTAGTCACATGTTACTCGTTCAAATAGTAAGCCGAAACGTACAAAATTGAATTTTTTATTTGTGAATAGGTATTAGTTAGCTTTGCGCAATATTATATCCGGCGCTGACTCCTAACGCCCAGTTAGACATTTTGTTATTATTATTATTGTATGAAAAAGCAGATGATATAATAGCTAGATAATTAAATTGATAAATAGTGGGTAGGTTTTACCAACGCCAATTACTTAATGAGCGTTTAACTGAATCAATTGCATTTCCTGTTTAGTAGAATTAATTGGTCAATTCTACTAATTAACAATTAGTTAAACGCCCATTAAGTAATTGGCGTTGGTGAAATCGACTTAATGATCTCTTTATCTAGGTAAATAAAAATTAGTGATAATACTGTGACAGGTAACATTCAGATCTGACCGGGAACTGATGCTGAAGTACGCGACTATCGGTCGCAATCTAACGATAATCGGCGCATCTTTCATGTATACTGCCGGCGTTATTTATTACGGGATTCTGATCCCATTTTTTTCCGAGACCAAAATCAACAATCAAACCATCAGACCACTTGTTTATCCAACTTATAGTGAATTTTACCAATCCCAAATTAGTCCTATATACGAAATTGTATATGTGGCTCATTGTATGTGCGGATATACAATATATTCGATAACAGCTGGTGCGTGCGGATTGGCTGCTTTGTTTGTCACTCATGCGTGTGGTCAAATCCAAGTGATCATGTCGCGATTGAAAAATCTCTTAAACGACGAAAATCCAAATATTCATCAACGGATCGCTATCATCGTGAAGGATCACGTCCGCATAGTAAGGTAATCTCAGAATATCTACTTCTCACTGAGAGAAAAATGCCTATTATTTGTAACTATAACTGCATATTACTATAATTATAGTAATATGTAGTTATAGTTACAAATACCAAACATTTTTTTCTTAGTGCTTAAGAACTCAAGACAGTTCAGTAATAACAAAGAAATTAAACAATACAGTTAAAAATTTTTAATGGTTTGCAGTTTATATTGTAACTGAAAATGTTCAATAACAATATTAACAAATTAAAACAAGTTATTAAGACTTTATTGTATAATGTTAACTTAATTAGCATAATTAATTTGACTCAGAAATAATGTTACGCATTCGTTTTATCATACCTAATTTAATTGTTAATTTATATATGGAGCATTCCACCATTTCCTAGATATGAATTTCTTTATATTTTCAATTTATTGTATTTCGTAAACCTCTAGTTGAAGTTAAGTTAGTTCCGTTTAAATTATTGATTTAATAAGTTCTGTTTAAATTATTAAAAAACAAAAAGTAACCACATCAAATTGTTCGCGTCTTTAAATTCTCTGTCAGGAAAAAAATATGAAAAAAACTTCAAGTTTTTGTTTCAACTAAAAAAATCTGATTGAAATAAACAAAATCGATTTTCGTCGAAGATCCATATTTTTAATATTTATAAAAAAATTCTCCAATTATTAATAGAAATATAAAGAATTTAAGCCGTATTTGATTAGGTATATCAAGTTAAAATTTTTGTTCCATTTTTTTTTAATTTTTCAACATATTTAAATCTATCATTTAAAGTTAGTAGATTTTTAATCTGCTGATGAGTTACATAAATCATGTTATTTTACGATACTAGAGAATATATTTTTATTGTAACTTCATAATTATTTAAGGAATAAGGATTTATAAGAATATTATTTCTATAAAATAACATTTTTTAAAATATGTGAAGAAATTTATTAATAAAGATCATTTATATATATATATATAAAGATTTTATATAAAGATTATTTCCGTAACGGATCATTTTTATTTTTCACTTCTTTTCTCACTCTTGTTCATTCTATAATTTTCAGATCCAATAAATTTGACAAATATCGTAGTAAAGTTCTCATTAACAGAAGAATTTAACTAAGCAAAGGAATATCTTACGAATCGATACGTTACGATTCGAGACTCAAAAAATTCATAGTATTATTCCTAAAAAAAATAGTACATTGTAAAAAAATTTTCAAACTCTTTAGATTATAGCACGTACAGGAGTGAGAAAAAAATGAAAAATAAAAATGATCAGTTACGGAAATGACCTTTATATAAAATCGTTGTATAAAAATGACCTTTATTAATAAATTTTTTCACATATTCTAAAAGAGGTTATTTCATTCAAACAATATTCTTATAAATCCTCATTCCTTAAATAATTGTGAAATTACAATAAAAATATATCTTCTAGTATCGTTATGAAATAACATAATTTATATAATTTATCAGCTGATCAAAAATCTACTAACATTAAATGATAGATTTAATATATTGAAAAATTAAAAAAAAATGGAACTAAAATGTTGTCTATAATTAAATACGGCTTAAATTCTATATATTTCTATTAAAAATACTGTGGAGAATTCTGTTATAAAAATTAAAAATATCAATCTTGACGAAAACCGATTTGGTTAATTTCAATCAGATTGTTCGAGTAGAAATAAAAACTTGAAGTTTTCTTCATATTTTATCTTAACAGAGAATTTTAAGACGAACAACTTGATGTGGTTATTTTTTTTTCAATAATTTAAACAGGACTTATGTTCAAACGTTTACAAAACAAAATAAATTGAAAATATTAAGAAATTCATATCTAGGAAATTAATGGACATAAAAATCTAAAAAAATAACTGAATATATACTTTAATATGAGAAATATATTAAAAAAATCAATAAAAAAGATCGGTAAGAGTCGATGAGTTGTCGATTTGACGGAGAATGTTCCAAATATATAATACTAAAAATATATATATAATAAAAATATATACATATAATAATAATAAATATAATTACATAATGCTGCACTTCGTCAATACGACTTGATCAACTATTTTCAATTCGTTGTATAAAGGATGTAATAGAGAATGCAACAGGTGGTCTCAATGAACTTTCAATACAGTTTCAGTAAATGGTATTGTTACACATCAAAGAATCGACTATAAGCATACGTGGTATATTAGCTTACATTTATACATACTGTGTACATAGACTGCAATGCAGTTAAGTGCACAAATATATTTGAATAGGATTGTCAGGAGTAATACATTCAAGTTTTCTCATACAAATTAAAACAACTTATTGCAGATTTTCAGCTGTGGTAGAGGAAGTTTTACAAGAAGTATGTTTAGTGGAGTTTACTAGTTCTGTATGCACAATATGTTTACTTGAATACTACTGTATAGTGGTGCGCTAATATGTATACTTAAAACACTAGATAAAAGATAATTAGTAGAGCGAGAAAATTATATTTACTATTTACGATTTAACAGGACTGGAAAGACGACAATAAGCTTAGCTTAGCAACTTATTTCTTGCTCTTTATTTCGTTCTGCTTCAATATATACATATTGTGCTATATTGGCGAGCTTCTCATGGAAAAGGTATAGTCACGTTTTTCAAATTTTAAAGTTAATTCCTGCCCATAATCACATGACCGTTTGCGACCAATGTTGCAGAGCAGTGAAATTGGATCAATGTGTTATATGATCAATTGGTATCAATTATCGCCAAGATCTGTCCGCAGTCTTATACTGATAATCGCTATGTCCAGCCATCCTATAAAACTTAGTGCTGGTAGAATGGCAGACCTGTCATTAACGACTTTTGGAAATGTGAGGCATTAAATACATATCACTTCTACCTTGCTATATTCTATTTCTCCTTCAGTAAACCAAAGATTCGAACTTATTTAAAAAAAAAAGCATTTCTTAATAGGCAATTATATTAACAGCTATACAAGTTTTATATGTATAGTAATATATGATAAATTATATATATTAATAAATTAATTATTTTACAGTTGTTGCAGCTAAAGTTAAATGGTTATCAGAATTTATCACCTTTAACTTTTGTTGCAATAAGTATAAAATAGTCTATTCAACTACATAAACAATATATACCTACTAATTCTACATATTTTGTATCCGTTAAACGCGCACGCGATGTATTGAGTCTGCAAAGAAGAAGATAATCAAATTTTAAATTAAACTCGTTATGAAAAAGATTCATTTTCATAGAATTTCCAGAACAATAATAGAATATATATATATATATATAATATTATTTACAATAATATTATATCAATATTAGATATCTACATAAGTCACATTCTTTCCATGTTACCCATATTGTTGAGTCATTCACGTACAATTTATAATCTCATTTTTTTTAAATCCACGCTAACAATTTAAATTTAACAATTAAATAAAGCAGAAAATGTTAAACTATGAACAGATGTCAAATTTTATTAAACTTGATTTCGCAAATAACGAATTAAAGTCGATTAGAAAAATCCAAATAGAACAGCAAAACTGCAGCTTCCTTGATTAGGAATCGTTTTGGATATAAAATATGCCTTTTACAATCACTCCCCGATTAATAGTGTGTATATGAACTGTCAGACTTACTATCAGTTAGCATTGCAAAAAAGTCTGCAATGTCAGCGCAAGCGCACGTCTCGCAACCTTGCGATCAATGCCGCGCGTCCGTTTGGTCTACTCTTCTTGCAGTCTTTGGCAGAATCTGTCACCGCAAACATGTCCAGTATACGCGATAAGTCCGCCATATCACGTAACTCCAATTATCAGCAAGACGTTCGATATGTTTTCAAGTTGAATAACTGGATTATGGGGTCGCTCGGTATTTGGCCAATCGCGATACGAGGCATTGGAAAACACATGTCCAAGATTGCAATCGCGATCTTTAATTTTGCGTTGAGCTTCGCGATAGTGCCTTGCGCTCTGCATATCATTTATGACCAAAAGGATCTCGACGTAAGGCTGCGCCTAAGCGGTCTTCTAGCCTTCTGTCTCACCGTAATGACAAAATACTGCATCTTCGTGATACATCGCCCTAAGATATATCGTTGCATCGAATACGTGAAGAACGATTGGTGGCAGGTCGGTGTTGCTAATAACATATCGTGTTAATGTGGAGTTCGTTACAAGCTAGTACTAAAAAAATTATTTAAGTAAACGTTGGAACACATGATTAAAGTGTCTTGATGTTTAATTAATTCCATCTTATGATCTGAACCGTTGTTTGAAAAGTACATGTATTTTGTGTATTAAAACATAATAATACACACACATACACACACACACATTTGTATATAAATATATTTAATATAATAATATTGTATAAATCAAAATATACGAATAAATAATCTTTTCTCCGCGTTGCACAGCTAAAACTTTAACTTAAAAAAAAATTAGATTGCAAAATTGATAAATGTTGATCTTTCATCTATCTCGATAAATAACAGTTACTAGCAACACTGTGACAGGTGACATTCAAGTCCGATCGCGAATTGATGCTGAAGTACGCTACCACCGGTCGCAATCTGACGATAATCGGCATGTGTTTCATGTACACTGCTGGCATCATTTATCACTTGATTCTACCGTTCTGTGTTGAGCACAAAATCAACAATCAAACCATCAGACCGCTCGTGTATCCGACCTATAGTAAATTTACTCAATCACAAATTAGTCCTATATACGAAATTGTATATGTGGCTCATTGTATGTGCGGATATACAATATATTCGTTAACAGCTGGTGCGTGCGGATTGGCTGCTTTGTTTGTCACTCATGCGTGTGGCCAAATCCAAGTGATTATGTCGCGAATGGAAAATCTCTTAAACGACGAAAACCCAAATATTCATCAACAAATCGCTATCATCGTGAAGGATCACGTCCGCATAGTAAGGTAATACCTTAGAATATCAACTTCTCACTGAGAGAAAAATGCTTAATATTTGTAGCTATAATTACTATAACTATGATTAGTTATTGTTATAATATTAGTAATAATAACCATATGAATGGTTCTAGCAACAAATATATATAAGGTAAACGTCCCAATGGTTGAACATATCCTAGTTTATGAACGATGCAATAAATATTTATAATTATTAAGTTCTCTATACATAAGTAGTTACAAAATATATTAATTTTGTCTTGTGTCCCATCCTCGTTACCACTAAAAAAACTTCAGAGGCTATTCACATTTTGTTAGACAATTGTTATCCACTTCCGTTTATTTTTTCGGCCAAAGAGATTAAAATTCCATTTTTATAATGCTAATAATTCCATCACTAACAAACAGAAGATCAAAAACAAATATTTTACCGTATGTAAGATCTGTTTCTGAAAGTTTTCTATTGGTGGCGTCAACGATTAATTCGAAAACAGCCTTATCTATTCCTAACATCTTAAATAAGCTTATAAAAAGTAGGTAAAGACCGCCTAGATCCTTTATCAAATCAAGATGTGATATACAAAATTTCGTGTCTGGATTGTGATGCAAGTTACGTCGGTCAACAAAGAGACGCTTACATACGAGAGTTCATGAGCACTCTTCTGAAATTAACAAAAAAAACGGGATCTCCTTCTGTTATTTCAGACTATCTTATTAAATTTAATCATAATTTTGATTGGGAGGAAGCTAAAATTTTGGATACAGAACCATTTTATAATAAAAGGTCAATATATAAAGGTCATATCAGAAATAGTTTATGTAAAAAAACAATCTCAAAGTTTAAATAAACAAACTGATACGAAATCTTTATTCGACATGTATCTTTCTATACTCCAGTCGCTATCCCCTTCCTATAATGCCTTTTTGTATACCTCCTAGCATCTGTACCTAGCATCTTGTTCTTTCTTGCTTGAAACAGTCACATCAGATCAGTTGCATGATAATAAATTTCTCTTTCCTAAAGAGCTGAATTTTTTAGTCGAGATAACTCAATATGTCATTTTCGAATTTTACCTTTTAAATAAAAATTTGCGATGGATTACTATCAATTTTTTAGGTACCATTTATTTTCTATTACTTATTCTTTAATTTTTATTTTTACAACCGTTTCTATAAAATTTAGAATTTTAATTTTTAATACAACCTTTTATCTCGCGATATATGTTAATATTAATACATTATTTTGTTTAAATTAATTTCATTAATCCTCATTATTATGTTTTTTATTCGATAAAAGTCGTTTTGTGCAGAAAGTCGTATGCTGCGTTACTATATAAAAACAAAAATTATATAGGAAAATAACGTTTTCAAATAAAATTTTTATTTTTAAAGCAGGAAATCTATTTTAAAGTAGAAAAATGTTTGTTCTATACTATATAGAAACATCATTTTTAAACTTTTCTTAATAACTTTTTAACGAATAACGAGGGACGGTTAAAATCTGTTGGAAGTTACTTAGGGTCACTTAGGGTTACTTGACCTTAACATATGTCAAGGTCAAGATCTCGGAGAGGTCTCCCCTAAAGTGAATATTTACCAAAAAAGATTTATAAGAAAAAAATATTTTTATAATGACTGTTTAATTTTATATATTCTCTCAGAAACTTAATGATCTGGCTAAGACGCAGTTTACCACTTAAGCATGTATTTTCATATAAAGTGCGCTTTTATTAAAAACAAAAGCTATTTCAATTCGTTAAAAAATGTACTACTAAAGTAAACTTTTTATTTTATTAAACAAATTTACTTAAATGTGATAAATTTAGTGTTTACTTACTGGTAATAAAAAAATCGATATTGCTCAGTTATCGATCACCGGTTTATCTATCGCACAGTATACAACCATATATTAGAGACACTGGTATCAGTAGAGTAGACGATACCACAATATACAATTAAAGAGATCCTAAAGTCGTCTATATTATCGACTAAATTGTAATTTTTGTATGATTACTTTTTTCCTCTTTTACAGATTCGAAAATCCTTTTCTAGGATTAAAGTATACGCATTAATACGTGCCTGTGAGATGGAATTTATGCCGAGAATTGCAATTTTCGAAGTTGAAATTTTAAGAAAAATTTTTTATCCTTCTCGGCAATAAACTCTACCTCACAGACACGTATTAATACTTTAAATCTAGAAAAGAATTTTCCAATCTGCAAAAAAAGAAAAAAATTATTATACAAAAAGTACGATTTAGTTGGTAATACAGACGGCTTTAGGATCCTCTTAAGAGAAGGAATGAGAGTTTTTTCATTATTGTAATTTTTCTGTAAGTATTTTTATATTTTAAGCAGGGTTGGGTAGTGCTCAGTTAAAAAGATAAAAGTTAAGTTAAAAAGTAAAAAAGTTAATTAATTTTAACTTAGCTTAGTTACATTTTAGATTAACTTAACTTTTTAACTTTATTTAGTTACATTTTATATATCCGTAACTATTAATTTTTTATTTAATTCTTTGAAGTTGAGTCTCAGACATAATATGCGGCAATAGCGATAACTTGAGATGAGGTGAAAATTGCAAAAGAAAGCAAATTTACTAGGTGTTGACCAATAAAATTATAAATATTCTAGTGAATTTGTAATTTTCACCTCATTTCAAATTACACAATCGACCCCCAAATTTCAATCTGTCAGAAACCGTATATTTCGATGTATTTATAGTTTCTGATAGGTTGAAATATTATTCCTTATTATTAATACTATCGCTACTTCCTCGTATTGTGTTTGAAGCTTTAGTCACATCACAGGCCAGTATTTATAGTCGAATCTTATATACTAAATAGTATACATAAACAAAACATATAAATAAAATATAGAGTATTTTCTAAATGAAGTATATATTTGTCATTTCCATTATTTATAAGATTGAAACCCTGGAATCATGAATTTAAAAAATAAAAAAAAAACAAATTTAACTTTTAACTTTTCAATTACTTTTTTTTTATTAACTTAACTTTTAATTCAATTAATTTCATTATAAATTAACTTGTATCTTAACTAAGTTAAATTTTCAAGGTTGTTAACACACTTTAACTTAACTTAGTTAAAAAAAAGAGTTAACTTACCCAACCCTGATTTTAAGTAATCTGCAGTTTAATTCAGCAATAAAACTTAATGAATTAATAGTAACAATAAAAAACAAGCCCCTCCCCCCGTTCAAGCCAACTTCTGTTATTCGGATGCACAATTTATTTACGTGTGAATTAAACAAATCATATCAATTAAATAATAAACGTTTCGACCATTACGTCTCTGACTGTCGTCACCACAGGACTGTTGAAGTCGTTTTTCGAATGTTGGTCCACTGAAAGTCTGTAAATTTGGTTGGACGATGTGTTTCTACTTTTGACACAATGTATAGGACTTAATTTTCAATTTATCTATAATCTGATAATTGGATAAAGAAGAATGGACAGGATATTGGAGGTTATGAATACTAGGCTAGTGTTTTAAATATGATATTGATAAGGACCAAAATGTAATGGTCGAAATATTTATTATTTAATTGATATGATTTGTTTAATTCACACGTAAATAAATTGTGTGCATCCGAATAACAGATGTTGGCTTGAACGGCTTGTTTTTTATTGTTACTAGTGATTGATTCTTTCGAGCCTTTTTTGAGATAATTGTTAACGAATTAAAGAATAAATATCATAATGAAATATAAATAACCTCGATCAAAATTGTATATCAACATTTAATTTAATTAGTTTAGTAAACATTTAATTTAATTAATTTAGTAAACATTTAATTTAATTAGTTTAGTAATTAAGTTTAATTTCTGTTTATTTTTTATGTTTAAAAAAATAACGTCAAAAGAAAAAAGAAAGAGACGTGGATACGGACAAGCAGATATTAATTATGCTTTAGAAGCGATAAAGACTGGTGGGTATGATATTGGGGATTGCTAGCGTAAAATTCGATGTTCCTAAAAGCACACTTTACATAAAAAATAAGAGAAAAGTCGAAGCTAAAATGGATCCATCGAAGTATTTAACAAATTAGGATGAAAGCGGATTAGTTGAATGGATCTTTTTTTCTTGCTAAACGTGGATTTTCAATAACGAAAACTCAATTATTGAAAAGTGTTCAACAACTCGTTATTAAAGTGAAAAGAAAAACACTTTTTATAAGACCTGGTAGACACTTTACGAAGGATTTCTACGTCGTCATCCTGAGCTAGTAACAAGAGTTGCTCAAAATTTAGCAGAGAAAGAAATACATAATTGGTTCAATCAAGTCCATTCACATTTGATAAAATTAAATTTATTGGACATTCATCCTTCTAGAGTATTCAATTGTGATGAGAGCGCAATCCTTTAGTGTCCAAAACCAGACCAGGTCATCGTTAGAAAAGGATCTAAATCTGTGTACAAGGTAGTCAACGCAGATAAAGAAAGCCTTACTACACTACTATTACTATTCATGGTAAATGCAGCAGGATCTATGGTTCTACCCATGATAATGTTTTGGTATAAACGTATACCATATAGTGTATCCAATACTTTTCCAAAAGACTGGTATATTGGATTATCAAAGAAAGGATGGATAACTGTGGAATCATTTCATAAGTATACTTTAAATTATTTTCATTCGTGGCTGATAAAAACAATACTAAATTCCTAGTCATTTTATATGTCGATTCATCCCATTTGATGTTGCCAGTGGTTGAATTTTGTCGAAAAGTAAAAATCGAATTAATTGCATTACATTCTAATGCTACTCATATTTTACAATTACTAGATGTTGCTGGATTTCATCCATTAAAAAATGCTTGGAAAGAAACAACTAATAATTAGTTATTAGAAAATGGAGGTGAACGTTTGAGAAGAGATAAATTTGCTATTTTATTAGAAAAAGTACTAGATCCTATTAATTTAACAGAAACCATAAAAAATAATTTTAAAACTTGCAATTTACTACCGTTTTCAGATGATGCAGTAA